AAAAGAGGATTAGGTAGAAATTGAGATAGATAGATAGATAGATAGATAGATAGATAGATAGATAGATAGATAGATAGATAGATAGATGATAGATAGATAGAGATAGGTAAGTGGAGAGAACTAAATAGATAGAGCAAGAGAGAAATAGTGAGAGATACAGAAGTCAGGAAAGAAGGAAGAGATGGATGAATGGACAGATGGCAGAAAAGAAAGGAATAGATAGAAATTGAGATAGAGATATGTAAGTAGTGTGAGAGAGATAAATAGATAAAGAGAGATAGATAGGGATAGGTAAGTAGAGAGATAGAGAGATACAGAAGGCAGGAAAGAAGGCAGAGACAGATGGACGAATGGACAGATGGATAAATCTGTCCATTCTGGACAGATCTGAAGGCAGGCAGAAAAAAAAGGAATATAGAAATTGAGATAGGTAGGTAGGTAGGTAGGTAGATCCACTTTCCTAATTATTCTTTTTAGGCCTCATTTTTTCCAAAGAATGGGCATTTTTTTTTTAACATAAATCCAGACCCACACCGATGTACACACTCCCCCAAAATTGAGTGGTTGTTTTTTTTTACATTAAGACCAAAAAGTGTGGGGGGGGGGAGAACACACCCAACAGACACTAAACATATTTTGCCTTGTTTCCCAACAGGCAAATTGGCCCTTTTCTCCTGGGGGAGAAATTGAGGGGGAGCCCTCAATTTTTTTCTTACATTTATTTGACACCTGAAGGTTGTTTTTTTTTTTAAATCTTGATTTTTGTAGAGGAGAGTGGTAAAGGACCATCCTTCCAATCATTTTTTTCCAGAAAGGCAAGGGATGGTTGCGGGCGGGTTGGTGTCAAAAGGTTAAAATGCTTCAGCTCAATACATTTAAAGTGCTCTCTGGATACTTTTGGTGCTCTCTGAACTGAGTTCTTTTCTTGCAGACGTTTCGTGGCCCAACTAGGTAACATCATCAGTGCTACAAAGGAGTGGGGATTGTGGAGAGGAAGAGGAGAAGGGGACGAAGGAGGAGGGGTTGAAGGAGAAAATGGAAGAGGAGGAGAACTGCGGGGTCCTTGGTGCTCTCTGAACTAGGTGGCTTTCTTGCAGGCTTTTCATGGCCCAACTAGGTAACTTCATCAGTGGTAGTGTCTTAACCCTGAGCTACAAATACTCTTTATTGATGGAGTAATTTAAATGCTGGTGCTGCGAGGAAAGGATCCCCCACCCCTCCAGGTGTGGCTCAGCCCACAATGATATATTTAATTTCTTGTGCATTGCTGGACAAACCTTAAAAGACACACACCCGAGGATGGGACACAAAGAGATTTATTGAATGCCAATGTTCTTACGACTATGCGTCATATCTTCGGAAACGAGATAGGGGGAAAAAAGCCGAGAGAAATGTTTCCCCCATGAATCTTCTTTTTACACGTCGTTTTCAAAGTCAGCCGGATTTTTTCTCTTCAACTTCTTATTGTAGTCGTTCGCCCAGGAATATACCATGTACGCAACGACAAATGCTTAAAAAAACACACACACAAAACAAAAGGAAAGTTTAGGGTTGCACGCCCAATTTAGAAGGGAGCAAATCCAGTTTCTTATCACTTCCTACGGAATAGAATTAGTCCTCAGCTTACGGCCATCCTTGAACCCTGGGCTTCTGTTGCTAAGCGAGGTACTTGTTCAGTGGGGGAACTCTACTTAAGCGGAGGAAGCCTAAAAGGCCATTAACTTGGTTTAAACAAGGTTCAAGTTGCCATTAAAAATCAAATTGCCCCCCCTGTGGGGAATGGGCCCCACGTTGGGAACCACTGGTGCAGGGTCTCCTGCTTGGGCAGGGGGGGGATTGGACTAGATGACCTCCAAGGTGCCTTCCAACTCTGTTAACCTTGTTTCTATCTGCCGAAGCGGCCCAGCTGCTATTTTTGCATGCTTGCCACCAGCCAGGTTAATTCATATTTCCATGATATGTTTATTCATTGAATGGCTGCAGCGCTAATCTTCCTTGCTATTTGTTTTATCAAGTTACCAGGGAGAAGGATGGCGGAAAAAAAATGAGAATTAAAAATAATTCTGATTTTTATGCTGCTCTGGTGCGCCACCTACCGGGAGAACAATCAACCAATGGAACGGCTTGCCTCCAGAAATCGACAACGCTCCAGCACTGGAGGTCTTTAAGAAGAGATTGGATAGTCATTCTACTCTACGCTATTAAATTAAACCCTAACCAATTTTGTTGTATTTAAGTACAATTACAATAAACGTAAACTGTAAATTATAAACTATAAATTTGTACCCTATGACTATCATTAAATGTTCTACCTTATGATTTGTGATGAACGTATCTTGTCTTTTTATGTACACTGCACCAAAGACAAATTCCTTGTGTGTCCCAAAACACTTGGCCAATAAAGAATTCTATTCTATTCTATTCTGTTCTATTTTGTATTCTATTCTTTTCTATTCCATTCTCTATTCTATTCTCTATTCTATTCTCTATTCTAATTCTAATCTGTTCTCTATTCTAATTCTATTCTCTATTCTATTCTCCAGTCTCTTCTCTATTCTAAATCTATTCTATTCTCTATTCTAATTCTATTCTCTATTCTATTCTCTATTCTATTCTCCAGTCTATTCTCTATTCTAATCTGTTCTCTATTCTAATTCTATTTTCTATTCTATTCTCGTCTATTCTCTATTCTATTCTCTATTCTAGTTCTATTCTCTATTCTAATTCTATTCTATTCTTTATTCTATAATCTATTCTCTATTCTAATTCTATTCTATTCTCTATTCTAATTCTATTCTCTATTCTAATTCTATTCTTTATTCTCTATTCTAATTCTATTCTATTCTCTATTCTATTCTCTATTCTATTCTCTATTCTATTCTCTATTCTCTATTCTAATTCTATTCTCTATTCTAATTCTATTCTCTATTCTATTCTTTATTCTAATTCTATTCTCTATTCTATTCTATACTTTAGAGGAATCCGTTAAAAAAACATTTTCCCCGCTCTCCCCACTTACGAGGTGTCACCCGAAAGAACGAGGAACTGAACCGTCTCCAAGTGTTTAAGATCCTGTGTGAGATGTTGGGAAATATTTTTTGTTCAAACGGAGACAGGTAGTAGCTGACAACATGCCTTGTTTTCATCAAGTTCCCAAACTGTTTCCCCATCTTGGCAGATTGCTCTGTGTGGGGGGAAAAAAAGAGGACAGAATCAATTTTAATAAATAAAATAGGAAACAGAAAGGTCGGTTATATGTTTGTAAAGATAAGCATGTTATTGTGTGGTTGGAAAACCTGTTTGGGTTAGTTTAAAGCATTGCGGGGTGGGGGGATAATCTTGGAAGAATAACATCTTAACAGAGTTGGAAGGGATCTTATAGGTCATCTAGTCTAACCCCCCCCCCCTGCCTGTAACCCACAAAGTATGAAGACTTTGGACCAGTCCCTAGGAAGGAGAAGGAAAGAATAAACCACTTCTGAAAATGCTGCCAGGAAAATTTCATAGGCTTCTCCAGAGACCCACCAGGAATCAAGGCTGGCTTGAAAGCACTGACACGTAAAACATGCCCAGATTCGAGTCTACAGAAAAGAAGGAGCAGGGATAATGTAATCATATCTTCCAATATTTGAAGGGCTGCCCCAAAGAAGGAGCCAGCCTATTCTCCAAAAGCACCCTGAAGACAAGAAGAAATGGGTGGAAACTAATCCAGGAGAGACGCAACCTGGAATTAAGGAGAAATTTCCTGACGGCGAGAACAATTAACCAGAAAATTTCATAGGCTTCTCCATCACTAGAGTTTTTTTTTTAAGGAAGAGATTGGACAACCCTTTCTCTGAGATGGTAGAGGGTCTCCTGCCTGACCAGGGGGATGGACTAGATGACCTCCAAGGTGACCCCTTCCAACGCTCCTTCCTTCCTTCCGCCCTCCCTCAATGGGGGCTTTCCAGAAGAGGTTGGACAGTCACTTGTCTGCAATCGTAGAGGGTCTCCTGCTTGAGCAGGGGGGTGGACTAGATGACCTCCAAGGTGACCCCTTCCAACGCTCCTTTCTTCCTTCCGCCCTCCCTCAATGGGGGCTTTCCAGAAGAGGTTGGACAGTCACTTGTCTGCAATCGTAGAGGGTCTCCTGCTTGAGCAGGGGGGTGGACTAGATGACCTCCAAGGTCCCTTCCCACACTGTTCTTCTTCATTCTAGCCCAACACCCACCCAGCCCCCTCCCCTGTTCAAGCGGGAAACTGCACTGAGCGCTTCTGCACCGGAGACTTGGCCAAACAATTTTAATTCCAAGTCTATAAGGCGACCCCCTGGTAGACTTTGGGCTCAGGACGGCCTACCTCGCAGGGTTGTTGTGCAGGGCCAAAAAAAAGAGAGCAAAGGAAGGGGAGGGGATGGAGCTCCTGCAAAGGGAGGCGGCCAAATCTATTCAAGGCTTAAAAATCAAGCATTCAACCTTACATTCCCGATACGCGAGACGCGTCCCGACGATCCTGCGCGAGAAGTCACCCTTTTCTCCTCCAGCTTCAACTGCCCTT